TATATACACACACACACACACACACACACACACACTCTATATATATATATATATATATATATATATATATATATATATATATATATATATATTAGGACTGTATTGTTGTGTTTCTATGTGTTTGATTTTGATTCTAGATTGGGGGCGTGCCTTCAGCGCACCTGACGCTGGTCAGCGCTGTACATTCACTTGGCAGTTGGCCAGAGCTGCGCTCCAATTTGGGCATTATGCTTTGTTTCGCATCCATACACTATCACTGACAACATTTACCGCATCCATTCACTTGCATTTCACACTGATTGAACATACTGATACTGATATTTTGATTATAAAATTTAAATTGAGTTAAATCAATCTTCTTTTTGATTATACTTCTCCTTGTCATCTCCCTTACTATGTTACATCCCTGAGCCAGGTGTAACATATGGGGGCTCGTCTAATTTAAATTTAGTTGATTTGATCTTTGGCTTTCGTAATAGGTATTTGTTTGTGTAATAAGTGGGAGAGACAAGGAGGCGGAGATGTTTGTTGGAGCGGCTTTGGGTTTGTAGTCCAATCAGGAAAAGGTAAGTTCTTTGGGTTTAAAACTGTGTACTTGTAAATTGCCCCTGTAAGGTTGTAGCAGCGCATTGCGTTGTTTTTTTATATATATTTGTAACTTTTTGGTTAACTCCACGTCTGATTCATAATAAATATATATTTCACAACACTTGACAATGAGAAATTCTTACCTCTCATTTATATTTGGAGATGACTGCGTCTGCTGGTATCACTAATTAAAATTAAAGCGCACCTTCTCGCTTCATGCCTCCTTTCTCATGGCCATAAATGAATATAACAACATATAAATCCAGCAAAATAAAGCAAACTCCGACCAATGTGAAGACAGTTTACTAGCACGCGACTTGGTTTTAAATTTTTGGTCCATTTAGAAACTTTGCCATGGGAAAACGAACCACACCATGAAAAAAAGCAACATTGTAATAATTTTAATCCCTGTTTCAGAATAAAAATCGGTCTACAGGTGTGAAAGCATTATAAGATCCATTTATAATGAAACTTTAATATTATAAATGTTCTTTTACTTTCACTCCTGAACAAAATAAAATAACCATGATGAATGAAATCAAATCATTTTTAAGCAAATCAAGCAAAATATTTTTACAGCACTTTTCAATGGCACTCTGACTTTTTTTTGTGAAAATATGAAGCAGTTTGTATTATTACATTGTTTGTATTATTACCACCACGACTACAATTACTACTACTACTTCTACGACTACGACTACTATGACTACTATGACCTTGACGACCAGGGCACCTCATTTTACCGATCCCACTCCTCACCCATTCTTCACTTTCTAGCACGACTCCCCAACCCTTTTCACTTTCCCCTCCCCAGTTATCCAGATCTGTTTTAAGATCTCGCAATTTATAAATTAAGCACGGACTATGACTACTACTACTATCACTACTACTACTACCACCACCAATAATAATAATAATAATAATAATAATAATAATAATAATAATAATAATAATAATAATAATAATAATAATAATAACAATAATAATAATAATAATAATAACAATAATAATAAACAATAAATAAATAAATACATGAATAATAATTATAATAATAATAAATGTGCTATGAGCAGCAGATTATCTTTATTTAACAGATTATATATTTCTAAACGCATATGTGACATTAAAGACTGTTAGAAAGGATGCTAAAAATCCAGTGTTAAATTGAATATTTCACAAGTTTACAGCTTTTACAGTGCATTTTTAATGAAGTAAATAGGCTTACTTAAACCCTTTAATTATAATTACGCGTTGTTATTATTATTATTGGACAAAGAACCATATATGGTAACTTTATTAACATTGATAATAATACATTTTTTAAAACACATACTTTTAATGTCATAAATGTTTTGTTGTAACCCTTAAAACACAATTTTTTTTTCAATTAATAGTTCAACAAGTTCATTATAAAGGTTAAACAAAGGAAAATAAATAGTCTGAATGCAAACATTTTGTTCTGCAGTGTATGCACAGATCATTATAAAAGACAACAGCACCTGTCCAATGTGATGTCCATCCAGTGCTGTGACTCTCTCCGGGATCATCTTGTTGGAAGTGGATCTCTGGCCCAAACGCCCTGAGTCTCCACTGCCAAAAGTGAAGAGTTTTCCATCCGCTGTGACGACGGCCGAGTGTTTGAAGCCACACGCCAGCTTTGAACAGGGAAAAAAATATGTATTTAAATAACGGCTGATTGTGTCGCTGTGTTTTGGTGAATTTATAATTATTTTTGTACCTGCACCACCTCCTCTCCCTGCAGACCCTCGATCTGTTTGGGTCGTCTTTGTCTTTCACTGTTGCCATGGCCGAGTTTCCCATAATCCCCGTCGCCCCAGCTGAACACCTCTCCAGTCTCAGTGAGAGCCAGTGAGTGGCCGTCTGACCCGTATGATGTCACCAGCTGCGTCACTACATAACCTATTGAGGGAAACAAAAATTGAATGGAACAGATACAACATATAGTTTTCAAAATATTACCATTATTATTATTTTTTTTTTTATTATTATTATTGTATAGCAGTTATTGCTGTTGTATTTTGTTATTATGTTTTAAGCATGACAAAATAAAAACAACTCAGGCTCATTCTGAAAATGTACCTCTATATACATTTCTGGAGAGTGTTAAATATGTCTGAGGAGGTAAGTTTTTTTTTTAAGTTTTTGTTTTTGCAAATCCACCAGAGGCCGATGTGTACCCTTTTTCAGAACTCAAATTTCTTTCACGAGTGAAATTTACGTCTGCTGTTATCACATAAATCCACCAGAGTCTGCTGTCGACTGACTGACTGACCCACCCTCCTTCCCTGAAAAAAAGCCCTTGCCTGATTTTACCACGGTTTCAGATTTTACCACATTCTCACCTTGTTGTTTACTCGTTTATTTTATTTTTTGGCTTCTGTTTTTGTCTTACCCGCTTTCTTGAACAGTTATTCGCCAGACTTAACTCCGTTGTCGTGGTCGACTTGTCTCAAGTCTGCTGACGTACTTGACAATCTAGTAACAGCAGAAAAGCCGTCTATATGGAGGAAAATTGTCAGCTGGTAAGCGCAAAAAGGACCGGAGTGCATGTATGAATATGTAGTCCATCCAAGGCGAAAGTGTAGTCCATGGTTATAGTTAGTGCAAACCAGCGATCTTATGGGATATGATCGTTGGTAATCGTGACACCTAGCTACATAATTCGCAACTTCCAGTAATGTATATAGGGCTACGCTTTCAGAATGAGCCTGTGTTAAAAAAAAAAAAAAACATTAATTAAACTAATTATTTGTTATTATTACATTTAAGAATTATAATAATAGTAGAAGTGGTAAATTCTGGTGAGAATTTTAGAATAAATAAAGAAATGTATTATTATTATTATTATTATTATTGTTATTATTATTATATGACCATGACCATCCTTAAATTATTATCTTTACTATATGATATATTTATATTGTAAATAATTTTAGATTAAAACTATAGTATAATAATTATAATAAGAATAATAATTCTTCTTATTATTATTATTCTTATTATTTTTATTTATTTTTTATTATTATTATGTTTAGACCATGACCATGCTAACATTATTATATTTACTATACACACACTATATAAATGTATTTTTATATATTAATATTATAATATTATATGCACAATTTAAAGTATTTAACATATTATTACATTATTTAAATACAATAAAAAAGTAACTTGATAAAAAAATACATTAATAAAATTTTATTAAATTATTTTTCCTTTTAAGTATCGTTCTTTTTTTTCAACTTTTCATTGAACGCTAATAATAATCAATTGATTATATGCTTCATTCACATTTGTTCTCAAGTTACTCAATGAAAGAGATACAACTTTCATGTAGTTATTATATTGCCGTTATACAACACTCAGTATAAACTGATATAAAGAGCAAACTTTAAATTTCAGGATGTTCTGCATCCTATTTCCACCACTTAGGTTTCTATATTCCCCTGAAACTGAAAGCAATCAGTGCTGTAACTTCAGCAAATCGCATGCATTTGTTGCATAGTATTTTTGGTGCAGTGCTGAAAATGAGTCTGCAATGGTTTGCATTACCTTGTAAAGCTGAGATGATAGTAGGGGTGTACAGGTCATCTGAATTACCCTGTCCAAGCCGCCCATAACTGCCCTCTCCAACAGCTAGAACCGTCCCGTTAGCCTGAACCAGGAACGTGCAGTTCTGACCGCACACGACCTGAGAGAAACACACATCTCTTTAACACAACATATTAACTTAAAGCATTATGAGTAGCATGCTAGTAATCACTAACCTTCATGTCATTCCAAACCCACAAAAATTCATTCGTCAAATTTAAATATTTTAGGTCAAATTTGAGAGCTCCCTCATCCTCCACAGACAATAGCATTCAAAAGTCCAGAAAAAAAAAAAATCCTCAAAACAAACCACATGCCTTCCCCTTCAGTGGTTCGATCTTAATATTATCAAGCCATGAGAACGCTTTTGTACGCACATAAAAAAAAAAAAATACATTAGTGTAAAGTGCTCATGCATCTGCACAATATACTGACACTGACGAGAAGAAACTGTTGAAGTACAAATGAAATCAAAACCAACCATATGGATTTTGTTAGCTCACATTGCTAGTTTTGTGGTTAACAATTAATCTGTGCATGTCATTAAGAATAAAAAATAGTTTGTGTTTGCTCTTCTAATCTAAAATTGAAATCTGAAAATAGACTCGTTGTTTGTTTTCAGTTAAATTCTCAAATTATAGCTGTGTCTCATTTCAGAGACTGCACAATCCGAAGAATGCATTCGAAGGGTGCTGCACAGTGTTGCCAACTATTTCCAATAAAAAGTAGCAAAAGCCTGCCCAAAAAGTAGCTAAATGTTGCCAGATGACATCACACACTAATTTGCATAGAAGTGACATCATCACATAATATCTGACAAGCGTAAGCCCGCCATGTCTCTACTCTCTGAGATGCCGTGCATTATATTACATCCAGATGCACAATAAATTGGTTGCATTAACTATTTAGATTTGTATGAAAAATATAGTCGACTATTTGTAAGAGTAATACAAACACGTTTTGATAAGAACTTTTTATATTTAAATATAACACTGATAATGAACGGTTACATTCTTTTAAACAATCACAGCTTGTGTACTTACTCTTTTTAGCTTGGAAATAAACACATTTGTGAAAGTGACAACAATTATAGCACTATTGGAATTTATTGCTACCTAAAGTACCAACAATTATACATGTTAACCAATATCAGTAAATTAACAGTGATGTAAAACAATCTGAGCTAGCAATTTACTCTACTGAGTGGAGCCTGCAGCCATCGCTCTTTTTAAAAATAAGTAGCCACATAAATGTTAAAAATTGCTAAATTTGTTGCTAGGTGCTTTTTAAAAAATGTTGCTGAGGTAGAATGAAAAGTAACAAAATCTATCAACAAATTTACCAAGTTGGCATTGGCAACACTGGTGCTGCATCATTGCAGCACGATGAAGGCTGTCTCATTTTTAAAAAATTCGAAGGCGCCTTTAAATGCAGCCCCAAAATGCATTCTTCGTTTCCCAGGTAATTAAAAACACAACTGGTGGATCCTTTGCGGCCATGATGTGAATCTCCCACTCCACCACATCCCAAAGCTGCTCTATTGAATTGAGATCTGGTGACTGTGATGGCCATTTGAGTCCAGTAAACTCATTGTCATGTTCAAGAAACCAGTTTGAGATGATTCCCGCCTTCTGACATGACATGTTATCTTGCTGGAAGTAGGCATCAGAAGATGGGTACACTGTTGTCATAAAGGGATGAACATGGTCAGCAACAATAGTCAGATAGGTTGTGGTGTTGACACGATGCTCAGTTGGTACTAAAGGGCCCAAAGTGTGCCAAGAAAATATCTCCCACACCATTACACAACCACCACCAGCCTGAAATGTCGATACAAAGCCGGATGGATCCATGCTTGTTATCTTCTCTTTTTTTAGACCATTATCTGTAAACTCTGAGAGATGGTTATGTGTAAAAATCCCAGAAGATCAGCAGTTTCTGAAATACTCAGAACAGCCTGTCTAGAACCGACAACCATGCCACATTCAAAGTCACTTAAATCACCTTTTCTCCCCATTCTTATGCTCGCTTTGAACGGCAGCAGATCATCTTGACAATGTCTACACGCCTAAATGCATTGAGTTGCTGCCATGTGATTGGCTGATTAGAAATTTGCGTAAACGAGCAGTTGCACAGGTACACCTAATAAAATGGCCAGTGACTGTACATCATTCAGTGCAACCAGGTTTGATCCCATTTGTGGTCTGCGGCATCACAAAGTCAGACTTCTATTACCCAATGTAAAGCACATTTTCCCTGTATGAATCACTTTCTCTCTTATATAGCATGCTATGAGCCATTCGTTACACAGAAAACTGTAATCATGAGAAACAGACTTAATTTTGAATGTCCTATTTGTCTGTATGCATTCTCCCCCTAAAGGCTTTCTACAGATAATTGAGTGTATGTGCGCACAGTGCGTTTCCGTATCCCGGATATTGGGGTTCCTCAGAGCATCGTTATGACTAATAAATGTGAAGAAGTTCGGATTAACACCAAGCTGGCTGTTTATTATTTTTTAATATTTGCAAGTGTTTACAAAACACTCTGTGCGAATTAAAAGCTCTGTTACGTGTGAATAAATGACCTATTCCAGTCACAGCTTTAGGTGCTTGTAGAGGGCGGAGACTTTAGATACTAGAGAGCATTTGATTGGTCAGAAAATCTGAAGACAGAAAGTGAAAACTCAAGCATGTTAACCCTGAAATGAGGAAAACTGGGTTTTCCCTTTCAAAATGGGAGGTATGTCAAACCCTGTTAGGGAGGCAAGGCAACTTTACCATGGTAACTTACTCTATGAAGAGCAGGTTTTCTTCAGTAAACCCAGGGTTTCTTTCTCTGCAATCTTTTTAAGGTGCAGAAGATGTTTAAATATTTTATAAATTCTTAAAGATTTCAAAAATGCTTTTCTTGCCAAGTATTTATTTATATTTCATATTATCTTAAGTCAAGATGGAATTTCTTTATTAGAAAATTATATTAGATATTTAATCTTTTCTCCTAAGATTATCTAAATTAAGTGCATTTTACTTAAGTAATTTTACTTAAACATTTTCATTTGTTGTCTTCTAGTGTGTCGAAAACGAGAGTGTTCAGAATGCCAACTACCAAGAAGTAGTTGTAGCATTCTACCACTATTCTCCTGCCTGCCTGATTTGCTGGAATGCTCCATGATTTGAATGATCATTATGGCTTTTTGTTCTCATTTTGACACAATCTATTTTGAAAAAAAAAAGCTATAGAAATAGAGATGAGCTGAATTTTAATGTTGGTACTCCACCTGTTGTGTCTGAGAGAGTGAGGGTGCCAGTGTGGGCACAGATGCACTGGTTCCAGCATCCGCCAGCTGCCCATGGCGGCCGTTACCCCACAGGTACACCTCACTTTTACCGCCCTGCTGCCAGTCCTGTCCAACACACAAGCACAATCTGATTAGAATGAAATAGTTGAAGCACAGTCTATTCAGGCAAGACACTGCAGGTTAATGGGCTAAATAAACTAGCTAGCATGGTTGATTACATTAAGAACTGCAAACCTTTTTTTATTAAATTAAATTACAAGCTTTCTAAAATTGTATGTTTAAAATTGCAGACATGACATTATTTTACTAAATATACATTAATTTGGAAAGTGGCGCAGTAGGTAGTGCAGTCGCCTCACAGCAAGAAGGTCGCTGGTTCGAGCCTCGGCTGGGTCGTTGGCGTTTCTGTGTGGAGTTTGCATGTTCTCCCTGCGTTCGCATGGGTTTCCTCTGGGTGCTCCGGTTTCCCCCACAGTCCAAAGACATGTGGTACAGGTAAATTGGGTAGGCTAAAATTGTCCATAGTGTATGAGTGTGAATGGGTGTGTACGGATGTTTCCCAGAGATGGGTGACAGCTGGAAGGGCATCCGCTGCGTTAAACATGTGCTGGATAAGTTGGTGGTTCATTCCACTGTGGCGACCCCGTATTAATAAAGGGACTAAGCCGAAAAGAAAACGAATGAATGAATAATTTGCAAAAATTAAAAACAAATCTGAACATTGGATGACAAGGTTCAAATATATTGTTTTTTTTTTTGACAAATTAGAGTTGAAGGTTTTTACAAAGAGGATTAGGGGAATTTTTATGCCAGAAAAAAAAGAATAAAATAGAGATAAAAAAGTAGAATATAATGTAGTATGTAATCAGGTAAATCATGTATGATCATATTTCTCTGTAAAAAAAAAAAAAAAAAACATAATATGGATATGAATGCAAATGTTGGTCTACATAAAGACTTGCGTTTAAAATATAACTCATTCAATAATAATTTATATTTTATTGAACAGCTGATGAACAAACTAAATTTATCACATGCTTATACTTGGGGAAAACAAAATTTGCTTGTATGGCAGTGTCACTATATAATACCATATATATTTAAATATACATTTCTTAAATTACAATCATTTGCTTTGTGTTATAGTCTGGTTAATAAATTTACAGTAAACAACTGTAACTTTATTAATCAGACTATAACACAAAGCAAATGATTTTGGACTCCTGAACTAAGTGGCATATTTCATAAATGCTTGTATGGCATTAACATGGATGATTAATATCACATGGCCCATGGGGTATATGCCGAAGCATGCTAATAGGACTTTTAATTTGCCAGTAACCTGGGTTAAGCGCTTCCGGCGAATTGAATGCTAATGCAAAATCCGGTGCGTTTAAGGTCTGTTTTCTTTAAAAATCAGCGATCTCCACTAGCTGAGTGATATCCGATTTAAAGTGGGTCTCAGATTGTACAAGAAGCACTGTATTAAATTACATTTCCCCCGCCATATCTTTATAATATGAGCATTTATTTTACCCCAGTATATTCAAAGGAGCTTCTGCGATTCCGACGGACGCGTGCGAGTAAACAGCTTTTTGTCTCGTTTTACGCTTGAGCAACTAAATAAATGCTAAAGTTAACTGAATGTATTTTAATGACATTACAACATCGATGCTGTATAAGGATGGACTGTATAAAATGGAAAAAAAGTTCACAATAACAGGTCACAGGAAGTGTATCAGCATGGGAACAGCACTAGCTCGGCATATACCCTATTACAACTATTACTTTTAATGTAATGTATAATTTCAAAGTACTGAAGCAAAAAAAAGTCCAAAATCTATGTTACACAGTCAATTCAATAAGCACAAAGTAAAACAGGCACACAAATATGCTTTCAATGAAGAAGAAATGGTTTTATTTTAGGCAGAGACAGGTTTTTGTGTGTCTGGAGCTGGTAGGGGTTTGTGCGCAGTAATTTATAAAAGCTGAATGAATAAAAGCATGTGAAGAGAGATAAAAATCTGAAAGAACAATGCAGAACACAGGAGCTCTACTGACAGAGACGGATGAGGCCACTGAGAGACGATCTGGATGTTCGGATATCTGCTAAAGCTCACGCTCACACACACACATACACACACACACACACACACATTCAGAAACACACAGACTTACTTCAGGCCTGCTAGTCGCCCACGACATGAGCTGCTCATCCATCATGAAGGTCCATTTACTGTTGTCCTGGAAGGAGAAGGAGGACTGGAGCATAAACTCTCATAGCGAAATGACCTTTTTAACTTCCTGTGCTTTGGTAAAATACTGAATTCTAACAATATACTTAGTTACAAGATTAATAATAAGTAAATCTTTAAAAAAACAAAAACAAACAAACATTATATATATTATATTACAAGTATAAGTAATATATATATATTACTATATATATATATATTACTATATATATATATATATATATATATATATATATATATATATATATATATATATATATATATATATATATATATATATATATATATATATATATATATATATATATATATATATATATATATATATATATATATATATATATATATATATATATATATATATATATATATATATATATATATATATATATATATATATATATATATATATATATATATATATATATATATATATATATATATATATATATATATATATATATATATATATATATATATATATATATATATAT